AAATTAAAAAGAATGAGATTGATAATGAATGGCTAAATTTATAATTATTATCATAATTAAAGCATTATTCAAAAAGTTTTTAAAAATGACATCATAGTTGCACACTAAATTTGGAATTAAATTAATTCCCAAAAAAATATAACTGGACTCGAGTCTCTTGAATGCTATACTAGATATTTGTCAACTTGTGTACACTCCAAATAGCATGTATCGAACAAAAATGTAGCAACACAACATGGACCACATGTGACATTATTGTAAAATGTATTGCAATAAGTAGGAATGGGAGAGTAAAGAGGGGTCTTTATTATATTGTCAATCACCCAACAACTTTGTCACCCACTCCATCACACACATTTTCTTCATGTGATTTTTTTTTATGAAGACTTCATGGGAACTGTGGAAAAAATAAATCGTAAAATGTGTCTGAAAAATTTATAAGTTTTTAAAAGTGTTTGTACACTAAATATTTATATATATTCACAATTGAGACAACTTATATCGTTTTTAGTATATTGTAGTATTTTCAATTTTAGTATACTATCTAAAAATCAATTTTTGATAAATTAAAATTGAATATTTATTAATGATCTACCTTACAATGTAGATCATTATCCATTGTATAATTTGTTGAAGATTATATGTATAGTCTCTGAATTATTATTGCGTACATGAAATCTACTAACATATAGTTAATTATGGGATATACCTCAGATATTGGTACACAAACTCTGCAATCTGCACCCACCACATCTACAAAAACAAAACTGTTTTAATTTATCTTGAAATTAGTTAACCAGTTGAGCTTTAATTAAAAAATGATTATTATATTAGACGGAGGCTAAATTATTTTTTTTTTATAATGAAGTAATATGTTAAAAAAATATGTATAAACACAACATTGTGACAAAGTTAATAGTACTCAAAAAAAATATATAATATATATCAAAAACCCTTTTACAAATTCTAGAAGTTATATTTTTCATATGACTATATAGATAAATATTAATTGAATTAATACCTAAAATCGTCCTCGACTATAGTGGTTTTTCTCAATTTCGTCCTAAACGACTTCGGTGACCTAATATCGTCCCAGACTTTTGTGTTTTGCTCAATTTAGTCCCAGACTTTTGTGTTTTTGATCAATTTAGTCCCTCATTTGTTATTCTGTCCATTTGGTGTTAAATAAATAAACAATTCAGTAATTTTAATATTGGCATCTCTTTACTCATAGACATGTGAACTGCGAAATCTCTTTTTTTTTTTTTAACGAATTAGTCCTAGAATTACTCCTAAAACTGGGAATATAAAATTTAATTTGCAGGTCCGGGAGTAATTCTGGGTGTAATTCGTACAAGAAAGAGGAATTTCGCACTTCACAAGTTGAAAGTAAAGAGAGATCAATATTGACATTACTGAATTGTCCCTTTATTTAACACTAATTTGACGGAATAACAAATGGAAGACTAAATTGAGCGAAACACAAAAGTCTGGAACGATATTAGGTCACCAAAGTCGTTTAGGACGAAATTGAGAAAAACCACTATAGTCGAGGACGATTTTGGGTATTAACTCAATATTAATTGTTAACTAACATATTTTGACATAAGAGTAAATACCATCTATGGTCCCTCGAGTTTAGTGGCATCGCCATCAATGGTCCCTAACTTTCGTATTTACCGGGCGTCATCCTCCGAGTTGCCAAAAGTGGCCTACAAGGGTCCTTCCGTCACTTTGTCCCGTTTGAGACGTCAAAATGGAGGGCAAATTAGTCACTTCACATTATGCGAATGTTTTAATGCTTTTTACATTTATTTGGAGAAAAAACGTCCATCGTCCATCGATCCACCCTCAATTGATTCCCAAATTTCCAACTACCAAACCCTAAACAAAATCTCAGTCGAATTTAGCGGCGATTGCGAAGGATTCTTCATCGACGAAGTAGCAATTTGGAGGTCAGAATTCAAGGCGAGAAAAGGGCAGACTTCAACGAGGTCATGGGTTCTCCACAACGACAGTCGAATGGTATGTGAACTAACTAAGTAGGGAGATCTTTGTGTTACGAAAACCTCGTATTGGTTGTTTTTATTACAAATTTGAGTATGTGAACTGCATTCGTTTAAAGTATAGTATTGGGCTTTGTTTATGGGACCATGGGGGCCCTGTCTAGGTGGTGGGAGACCATGAACTGCATATTTTGTTTAAAGTAGATTTTTTGTGTTTTTTTTTGGTTATTTATGTTCAAAGCACATATGCTGGCTTGAAATTGGGGACCACAGAGGGTTGAAAGCACATGGTAGTGTGTCCTTTTGTTCTAGAAATAATTGTGGATTTGTTGGCTTGAAATTGGGGACCACATAGGGTTTAAAGCACATATGTTGTGGCTGGGTTAAAAGTTAAATGATGTGTATTGCCTTTATGTGTATTATATTATGTGTAGGGACCACTTGTCTTGGGATAGTAAACCATTTGAAATCCACATTTCTGCCTGCTTATATAACAGTGTGTAATGAGCCTATTTGTGGCTACTTTGCTGTACAGGTAATGTTCCTGGTGGTGGTTTTGTGTTGAATTTAAGGCATGATGGTAGGATAAATAAAAGTCATAAACCAAGTTATGTTGGAGGGCAGACTACTAGTTTCTCTAACATTGATGTGAATGAGTGGGGATTGTTCACACTTAGAGATAAGGTTAAGTGTTTGGGTTATGAAATAATAGATAGCATGAAGATGTTTGTGAATCAATCAAATGGGTTGATAGAGATAGTTTCAGATTGTGAAGTATGGGATTTAGTCAAAGAAATAGAGGTGCATAATGAAATAGAGATTTGGGTTGTGCATGAGGGTGATGTTGATGGTGCTGAGGATGTTGAGGATGCTGAGGGTGTTGAGGATGCTGATCCTGAAAGTGAAGCTGAATGGGAAAGTGAGGAGGATGCTGAGTCAGATGAGAGTTCTGTGGATTTAGATGACATAGAATTTGAGCAATTTGTTGATCCAACTGCTGAGTTTGGTGGGTTAGATGATGCTGGAACTGCTTTGGGAGTTCAAGTTAATGAAGATTTGGAGATAAAATTTTCAGATGAGGGGAGTGAGAAAGACAGTGATAATGAAGAGGCAAAAGAATATCAACTGCCAATGTTTAAAGGGAAAATTGAGATGGCAACACCTACATTCTGTCTTGGATTAACATTTGGTTCTAAGGCAGAATTTAAGGAGGCAATTTATAATTATGCAATGAATAAAGGAAAGGAAATTCTGTACATCAAAAATGATAAGGTTAGGTGCATTGTTGAGTGCAATGAAACTGAATGTCCTTTTAGGATTACACTAAGGAAACAAGCCTCAGAAAATGACTGGAGAATTACAGCAATCAATGACAAGCATGATGGCTGTTGTTGGAATAACATAAACTACATGGCTAACTCAACTACAATTGCAAAAAGGTGGAAGAATGAGGTTGCATCAAACTCCAACTGGACAGCTTCTGAATTCCTTAAAAAGGTGTCAACTACTGATGGAATCTCAATATCCAGAAGGCAAGCATGGAGGGCAATGAGGAAAGCAAGGGCTGCCATTTATGGTGAAGAAGAAAAATGCTTTAATAAGCTATGGAGTTACTGCTTGGAGATTGACAGGACAAATCCAGGAAGCAAATACCATGTGAAGTTGGGTGATAAACTAGATGATGGCAATAGAAGGTTCAAGAGATTTTACATGTGTTGGGAAGCATGTAGAATAGGCTATAAGTACTGTAGGCCTATTATTGGAGTGGATGGGTGTCATTTGAAGGGATTGCATGGGGGTCAGTTGCTGTTAGCTATTGGAGTGGATGGAAATGATAGTGTCTTTCCTCTTGCTTATGCACATGTAGAAGGAGAGAATAAGGAAAGTTGGATTTGGTTTTTAAAACATCTTAAGTCAGATCTTGCAATAACTCCAGCTGATGAACTGGAATTAACATTTATTTCAGGTATGTGAACTGGAATTAACATTCATATCTTATACAGTTAAAAGCTTACCATTGTTTTGCATTCAATTATTTCTAAGTGTTTACCTAACTGTTTGGCAGATAAGCAAAAGGGTTTACTCCCTGCATTTGAGGAAGTTCTTCCAGCTGTGACTCACAGATTCTGTGTGAGACATTTACATGGGAATATGAAACTAGCTGGCTTCACTGGAAAGGCAATTAAAGATGGGTTATGGGATGCTGCTAGGGCCACAACAATTAACACATTCACAGCTGCAATGAAGAAGATGAAGACCATTGACTCTAAGGCATATGAATGGCTTGTTGAAAAACACCCTTCAGAGTGGTCCAGGTCACATTTTAATACAAATGCGCATTGTGATATCTTGGTCAATAACATTTGTGAGTGTTATAATTCTGTTATATTAGATGCTAGAGAGAAGCCTTTAATTAGCTGCCTTGAAACATTGAGGAAGAAAATTATGCATAGGCTGTATCAGTGTAGGAAAGCGGCATGGAAATGGACTGGCCCTATATGCCCTAGGATTATGAAGAAAATAGCTCAGTATGAAAAACAAGCCAATGGGTATACAGTCATACAGAGTGATGACAACTTGTTTGAGACACGTGGGGTGATTTATAGTGAATTTGAGCAGCATGAAGTTGACTTGGGTAGAATGACATGTACTTGTAGGAGTTGGGACTTGACTGGTATTCCATGTAGACATGCTATAAGTGCCATTTGGATGAAGCATGGTAAGGGTCCAGTGAATGACTATGTCCACCAATGTTATTTCACACAAACATACTTGAAGGCCTATGGAGGAAGCATCAAGCCTATGGCAGGTCCTACTGAGTGGCCTGAAACTGATAGAAAGCCACATCTTCCACCTGTATACACTGCCAAGCCAGGAAGACCCAAAAAAGCAAGAAAGAAGGGAATGGATGAGATATCCACATCTGGGAAAAAGAAGGGGGTTGCTGAGGTATCCAAATCTGGGAAAAAGAAGGCAGGTGATGAGGTCTCCAAAGATGGTATCCATTTGAAAAGAAGCCATGTGAAGATGCATTGTACCAAATGCAAGAAGGAAGGCCACAACAAAAGAAAATGCCCTGAAGATCCTGCTGTTAGGGAGAGATTGGTAAGTGTTATGGCTTATAACCTGTTTTAAATTTTCTTATAGCTTAAATTTAGTTGTGATCTAACTGTGATATTTCTGTCCTAGGCCAATCCAAAGAAAAGAGTTAGGGCAAAGGCAAACAAACCTACAAACAGTCAAGCTACAGAATCTGAAACTGCACAAGAAACAAAGAAAATGGTGGTTCCTACACTGCCTGATGCAACACTTGAAGATGAAGATGATAATTGGTTGGCAAACATTGATATTGATGCAGTGGTGTCTCAAGTGCTGCAAAACCAAACAATGCAACCACAAGTGGATGCTGAGGAAATACCAATTACTAGTCAGCCACCTACTGTTGGAGAAGAAGAAGATAGCCAACAAGTGACTCCACCAACAAAGAAGAAGCTGCAAGCCAATGCAACTCAATGGAGGAAATATAACACTCGTGGCAAGATGAAATCAAAATTCAAGAACACAAGTGATGATCCTATAAGCATTGATTAACAGTACTGTTTAAGTTATGTTGTTTAAGTTATGTATTTTGGTAGCCAAAACTGCTGGATCAGTTAGACAAGACAGTTGTATGTTACTCTTTTTTGTATAGCAGTAACTTTGGCAGTTTAGTCTTATTTTGGCACAATTGAATATGACTTTGGCAGAAATGAAATGGTTGCTCAATTGGCTCAGTTTAGTCCTATTGGCTCAGTTTCTCTGGTTGCTCAGTTTAGTCCTATTCTGCTTATGTTATTGTTAAGGTTTCTTGACTAAACACACTCCAAACACACTTCAATATCATTGTTCTTACCTATACAGGCAACAAAGACAGTACAATAAGATGGTGCTTAACTAAACATACTTCAAACACATTGCATTAAATGGTCCAAATCAGGTTACATCATTAATTGCCTGGAAGCATTTTGACAACTGCCATCGATTGAGAACTACGTTTGCTAAACACATGAACTACGAATCCAATTGCAAAGATGATTACAATTGCGAATTTGCAACACTTATATTTCATAGACAAGACTGCATTTGTCTTAGTAGCAACTTCTAGCATAGCCTTTAACTTCTCCATCTCTTCTTTGTCTCTATTTATCCTCTTCAAAAGTCCGGGTATTATACTGATTGCCCGTGAACACATTGGAGGATCTGCCCAATCAAAGAAACCACAACCGTTGCCTCCCTAAAATCAAAAAAAACAAAAAAAAATACAAAATTGAATTTATAAAATTCAAATCTGGAAAAATGAAACTGAATTCAAAAATTTATAAATTCGATATTACAAATTCTAAGATTACCTGACCGGATTCAGAGCATTGCCAAAACCTCCTACCCGGATTGCGATCTGTCCAAGACGTTCGAAGCACCACTTGATTCCCGCACTCACACCCATGACTGTGTATGGAATCTCCAAAATTATATCTCCTCCTTGAAGTAGTTGAAGAAGATGACATTGTTGAAGAAGATGAAGAAGATGAAGATGATTAGGGTTCTTGCTGAGGCTTATGATATCGTCGAACCTAAATGTAAAAAGCATTAAAACATTCGCATAATGTGAAGTGACTAATTTGCCCTCCATTTTGACGTCTCAAACGGGACAAAGTGACGGAAGGACCCTTGTAGGCCACTTTTGGCAACTCGGAGGATGACGCCCGGTAAATACGAAAGTTAGGGACCGTTGATGGCGATGCCACTAAACTCGAGGGACCATAGATGGTATTTACTCTTTGACATAATTAGCGTACATTCGTTCAATATAAGCGTGTCATTTGTCAAAATATGAATTGATCCGGTCACCCGTGATTGAAGAAAATAATTGGCCATCACACGTAATCACATTCTCCACGTGACATTACGTGTCGACCTTTTTTTTTTTTTTTTTTTTTTTTGTAATGTCAATCTGCTCTCTTTCGTTTTTTATTCTTTATTATTAATTTTCTTCTTCGATACTTTTGTACCGAAGACAAGGAAAAGAAAATTTAATTAGGTCTGATAGATGATAGGTTTCACTTAAAATGTTTTTAGCAATATGGTGAAAGTTCGATCTTTGTTTTAAACAATGGGATTTGGATTTGGGTTTGGAATGAGCTCCTTGTTCACATAAATATACAATTTAGATTTGAGTCTCGAAATTATATTGGCTCAATTTATCTCATCATGAGTTTTGGATTATGCTCATTTACTTTAGGGTCTTTTGGAAACTTGAAAAATATTTTCCAAAAAATAATTTATAGAAAATGACTCATTTTGTGAAAATTAATTTAATTTTCTAGTGTTTGGTTGAAGGTAAAAAAAATTACATTTTTCATGTTTGGTTCATTTTCTGGAAAATAAACATATAATAATAATAATAATAATAATAATAATAATAATAATAATAATAATAATAATAATAATAATAATAATAATAATAATAATAATAATAATAATAATAATAATAATAATAATAATAATAATAATAATCTACAATCTACAAATCTAATAAGAGCCAATACAGTTAGGTCCTTTAAAAGATCTTGGTGTAATTGTTTGTTGAAATGAATGATTCATATTATTTTGATTTTAATACTTTTATTATTTTTCATATTTTACAGTCTATTATATCATTTACTTTTTCTAAATACCCTTGTATTCCGGCAATATAAACTTTAGTAACGGAATATTCCGTTAACTATTTATTATTTCTTGATTTACTCATCGATTTTTATAAGGAATGTCTTAGGTTCGAAGCCCAACTCAATCAAAATTGACATAATTGTTAAATATATATACTATGAATATGTTAGAGTGTACTAAAAAAATACAATATAAAATTTAACATTAACTTTGGTCATTTAAATAGAATCACGCATTGAGCATTGATGAAACGGTACACATAATTTACCGTATATATCAACTAATATGAGAAATTATGTCTATTATCAAAAAATTGGGTAAGGAAGATTTGGTTCTGTTTTTGAAGGTGTACTGCGCCAAAGCACTAAGATTGCATTGAAGCACACCAGGGAACTAGATCAAATCAATAATTCACTTATGGCGTAAGTGGCAACAAGAGGAAGCATAAATCACATCAATTAATAGGATTTTGTGTTGAAGATACTATGCATAGGGTACTACCTAGTGAGGGTGCTTCCCTCTAAAAATGTTATTGCAACAATTAATCAAACATTTTCTACCACAGGTCATAGTTATACATTCTTAAAATATTTACTTTTATGGAAAATTTGATAATCTTGCATTGATATACGCCAAGATACCGAATGATACTGTGATAAATTCTGAAACACTAATTTAAAAATACACATTGAGAATCATATTATTCGCGCAATGTGCGTGTGGTAACTAGTAATAATAATAAGTGATCAAGTGGCGTGGTGATGGTGGTGGTGGTCTTAGTGTTAGTGTTGGTGTTGGTGGTGTGGTGGTGTGGGTGTCGTGGTGGTTTTGTAGTGATGGTGGTGGTACTAATAATCTGAAAAGATCAGAGAGACGAATAAATAAATTATCTAGAAAATATCTTTCGACTAATTTTTTTTTTTTCCATTGACCATAATAATGATTTTCCTTTTACTTTATTTTCTTTGGGTAGTCAAACATGGAAAAATCCAAAAACTAACTTTCAGGAGTCATTTTATGAGTTTTTAAGGAGACTCTTAGTCTCGCGAAGCCGATAAACTTGGATTATATATATTTTTTTAAAAAAAAAGTGAGTTTTTTTTTTTAATTTTTTTTTAAAATATACATCTAAATGTAAATTTAATTTATTCGAACTTTCTTTGATTTTTAAATTTGATGGGTTTAATTAATTTTCAAATACTAAAATAGTAAATAAATAAGTATCAATGTGTATTAAGTAATTAAGTTAAGTGATAGGCAGACGCATATTATTGAGTGATGTTATGTTTTAGGTTAAAATTACACTCCACATAAATATTTAAACCAAGAAAAATGATCAAATAAACCCATCAATCCGTTAAATAGTTCCATTTTTTTTTTTCATTTTTTTGAAATATACAATTGAGCTCCTAAAAAAAAAAAAAAAAAGGTGAACGTTTTCGTTGCACTCTCACATATTATGGGATGTACTCTATAGTGTTACTACGTAAATTTAAAGTTTAAGTTATTAATGAAAATGCTACCGATTTTTTTATTCTTTGATTTCTTTAAAATTAGATTTTTTCAAATAGACGATATTTTTTTTTTTTGAAAATTCAAATAGACGATATGATTCTAATTGATTCTCATTTCTTTCAGCAACTTCCTTCTCAATGCAATTCCTTTAAGTTATTTAATTACGTGAAGTAATTTACAGTAGGATGAATTATTTTTTAAAAAAAATTAATTTCAAGATGGCGATGATGCATTATATTCAATATAATAATTATTAGTTATCAATTAAGGACGACATTTTTTTATATCACAGAATAATGAGGCTTCAACGTAACGAGGGGTCGATGCGCCAAATCATTCATATTAGTAAAAGCCTATATGGGCAACACTAGTCGAGTAGTTAACTTTGGTAATAACCACGCATGGTCGAAATCGCTAGGCGCTTCTCGGATATCTGAGAACGTTTAGGTGGTGATTAATCAGCGCTTAGACGTCTGTTTATTTTTTATTTTTAAAAATTTTGTTATTTTTTAAGACTTGATAATTTTAAATTATTTAATACTTTAATAATTAATACTAAAATATTAAATATTAATTTACAAATATCTAGAGTTTGAAACAATTTAGTATTATTTAGCTCAAAATGATGTCATTTTGAGTGAATAACCCATTAAAAAAAACAATAGCTAATCGACCGACTAGGTGACCTTGTCGGTGCCTAGGAGGCCACCTAAACCATCGATTATGGTGATATGCTAGGCGGCTGGCCAGCGCCTAGTGCCTAGACGCCAATTTATTAGTGCCTATGCAGGGTTTTTGCAACACTTGTAATAACAAGGTTTCAAGGTCGAGTCCTCACTCCTTTTGATTTGAGTTAGTCTGTTATGTACAATTTAGACTGATTACCTCATTGTAGTCCTTTGCCATCTAGCTAGGCTCACAAAGTTGATGCCTAATTAACGCCAAATCAATGGTTATTTGTTGAATAAGTAAATTTATGACTTAATTCATTTTTTTTTTA